TGCCCCCAGTGGAAGCAAATAATTACATTCGCAGATTACCGTCACCTAATGTAAAATTTTACTCAACACATGTAACCTACCAATGATGTTCTGAATGCACAAAAAGGGGCTCATGGATATCTCACTTTCAGAGAGTGCCTTAACTTTTTGACTCATTGCAGGTAGTTAAAATGTAAACTTTTTAAGGCCACATTTTAAAACACTTTGCAAACGCTGGACACCTCTACTCATGAACATCCTGTAAATTTTTCAAGTCCATTTGATCACTAACATGCCAGATCATCTTCCCCGCTCCCCTAAAACAGAGATGAAAACTGGGCATAATGGCAATTTGGGGGACAAATACCTTCTCTCATCATCTGAAAATTGTCATATGTTGCTTTTTTAAAAAATTAAATTAGTGTTATTTGTTTTCTACCCAGAGACAAGTTATTTTGGTATCACCCACAATGGAATTTGCATGAAAATCTGTTTATTGACCCAGTTCCCTAGGGGTACATTTGCCCTAGCACTTGGAGTAAATACCATTTTCATTGCACTAGAAATAGTTCTAATTGGACAAATTGTTATAATTTTAGCAACACCCAAATAAATCAAAGAAATTGGAGGCAGACATGCCACAGAATCTGGATTCGACCACAAACCAGTTCAGTATTTGTGCCTGAAATAAAAGTCTAGTCATATACCATCTACAGATGCTAGAGGAACAGCTACATACCTTGACTGAACTTAGAAAAAAACATTTTTAATTGTACTTTAAGCTCTGGGATACTCGTGCAGAACATGCAGGTTTGTTACATAGGTATACATGTGTCATGGTGGTTTGCTGCACCTATCAACCTGTCATCCAGGTTTTAAGCCCCCAATGCATTAGGTATTTGGCCTAATTCTCTCCCTCCCCTTGCCCCAAACCTGACAGGCCCCAGTGTGTGATGTTCCCCTCCCTGTGTCCATATGTTCTCATTGTTCAACTCCCACTTACAAGTTTAAAAAAAAAAAAGAAAGAAAATATGAGTTCAGAGAAACTAGTTGTTCTGAAAACAGCCTATTGAAAAGTTATGTGACTGGTTAACTGTGTGTGTGTGTGTGTGTGTGTGTGTGTGTGTGTGTGTGTATGAGTTCATCCATTTCATTAACTGGGGTATTTTCACTAATACAGTCTAAATAACAGGAAATGAATTTATAGAGAATCAAACAGTAACATTCAGAACTCAAAGTCAAGCATAGTGTAAAATATATCTCAGTGGAAAGCATGTAAGTGTCTAAATTCTCCTTCCAAACCCTTCTATAAACTCTGTCTTTTCCATTATCCCTTGACATGTATCATCCTCTCCAAGAAGCTGCACCTCTTTACTGGTGTTCACGTACCTCCACGTCATGCCCTACTCTATGCCTTTGTGCTGTTCACTCCCCCTTTCCTCTCATCTTGGATGTCTTTCCCAAATCCTTCTTGTTATCAAACACTCATCTCCTCCACAGAGCTTTGGATGTTACAATGTTAACTTACACACATCTTCTGAACTTCCCTAATTATGTATATCCAAATTTAGCATTTCATCATAGAACTCTCCTCTCTGATTACATATATGTTTGTGTGTACCTTTTTTTCCCTCAACCAAATCACATGATTTAAAGGTAACACTGGTCTTTAATGCCTGTCCTTAAAGTTTCCATCAAGATCCTACTCTGCATTTAATCTCTTTCACTAGTTATCCCTTCTCTTTTCTTTTTTTGAAAACATGCTTAAATGTGCCCTATCCTGAAGAAATCTCAATTCTCAAGCTCTCCCACCATATCTACTTTCTTTCCCTCAAAACTTCTTGAAACAGCATCCCTTCCTCCACTTCTATTCCGTTCTCTCTCAACCCCTCCAATTTGGTTACCCAGGCACACCCTTCTCTCTCAGCCACAGATCCCTGCAGCACTGAATCCTCATGCACCGTCTTTCTCCTGGAGACTGGGACAACCTTGACTCCTGGATCATCTCCTTCCCCCATGCCCAGCATTCTCTGTGTTCTTTCCTGGTTCCTGCCCTTGAATTCTCAGTCATCACTCCTCATCTTTCCTCAGTCTCCCAAGGCAATTGCATCTCTGCTTTTGTCTTTAACTTCGAAATCTCCAAGATTCCCTAATCTCAAATTTTAGTGAACTCTCTGTGGGGTCCCAGACCTTATGCTGCCACCTGCTGGCCAGTTCCATGGGGCTATCTCAGAACAAAATTCAAGTTTATTCCCAAACACCTAACCATTCTACTTACTTTATTTTTCCTCTGTTAACTAATCACATCACCAGTTTCCTAGAACTCCCTGATAGAGGTTTAACATCAGCATCCTCCATGACTTAACGATCTTCGCCCCCAGCATCAACCACTCAGCGTGTACTATAAATATAACGCTACCTACCAGAGCGTCTGTCCTCTGTGTTACATCCCTACCTAGCTCTTTTTTTTTTTTTTTTTTCGTGACCCAGTCTCACTTTGTCGCCCAGGCTGGAGTGCAGTGGCGCGATCTCGGCTCACTGCAACCTCCACCTCCCGGGTTCAAGCAATTCTCCTGCCTCAGCCTCCCAAGCAGCTGGGACTACAGGTGCCCGCCACCACGCCGGGCTAATTTTTTGTATTTTTAGTAGAGACGGGTTTTCACCATGTTGCCTAGGCTGGTCTCAAACTCCTGAGCTCAGGCAATCCGCCCACCTCGGCCTCCCAAAGTGCTGGGATTACAGGCGTGCACCACCGTGCCCAGCCCCTAGTTAGCTCTTCTTAGACCATGACTGCCTGTCCCCAGCATACTGGATGAGACCTCACTGACCTGCCCCCATTTTCTCCCCTGAACCCCAATCCTCCTGACACTTCTTCCAGGCAAATCTTCTTGAACCAAGTGTCTGAGCAATTCTCTAGATGAAGAGCCTCAAGACATTGTGTCCTACTGGTAGAATAAAGCCCAAATTCCTTAACTCTGGAACTTCTAGAAAGAACTTCAAGGCCGTGCATGACCTGGCTGCAGACTATCACCATAGCCTCGGCTGTCATCACGCTTCCTCTCACAATATTCACTCTGGCTCCAACCTCCCTGAACTATTTTTTTTTTTTTTCCTGTACTTTGAACAAAAGAGCCTTACTCCGGCGCTAGAGCTTGTCATGCACTCCTGTCATATCTTTACACAGCTGACCACTTCTTGTCATTCAGGTCTTATCTCAAATGTCACCTCCTCTGGCAAAGCACACTCGGACCACACAATCTAATTACCTTCCTCCTCCTAATACCCAGGTGAGTCTTTCACAGTTAATCTGTTGTATTTCTTCTAAGCACATCTCAGCATCTGAACACATCTGTTCATTTATGTTTATTATGGAGTGTCCGTCTCCGCACACTCAAATGTAAGCCCCATGCGCATAAATATTGCTTTTCTTCACTCAACCCAGCTCCTGGAAAAGTACCTGGCACACGGAAGCCTGAAATCAGATTCCTCCACGGCGTGGCACCCATTTCCACCTCCTTATTCTGTCTCTGTTTATATGTCTGTGCTAGCTTTTAGCACATTACATCTTTTATTTGAACAGCTATTTCCAAAGAAAGTGAAGAGGAGGGAAAGGAGGACATATCAAAGTCTGGGGGTGGCGGGGTACAAGAAGGAATGAATCATTTCTGAAACACACATTCAAGTTGTGTAGTTTTCAGTGTAAAGGATTTGTGCATTTTTGTTAAAATTGGCCCTTGTGTTAAAATTGGCCCTTCGTGACCCAGTCTCACTTTGTCGCCCAGGCTGGAGTGCAGTGGCGCGATCTCGGCTCACTGCAACCTCCACCTCCCGGGTTCAAGCAATTCTCCTGCCTCAGCCTCCCAAGCAGCTGGGACTACAGGTGCCCGCCACCACGCCGGGCTAATTTTTTGTATTTTTAGTAGAGACAGGTTTTCACCATGTTGCCTAGGCTGGTCTCAAACTCCTGAGCTTGCATGTTGCATGCTTTTCATTCTGCTATAAGAAATATTCTTTAAATTTCATTTTCTATGTGCTAGTTTCTAATATATGTATTAAAAATGAATGTTTATATTGACCTCATAGCTGTAACCTTGCTAAATTTACTACTCAGTTCTAGGTAACTTCTAAAATTATGTGGTTTTGGGCCAGGCACAGTGGCTCATGCCTGTAATCCCAGCACTTTGGGAGGCCGAGGTGAGCGGATCACAAGGTCAGGAGTTTGAGACCAGCCTGGCCAATATGGTGAAACCCCATCTCTACTAAAAATACAAAAATTAGCCGAGCATAGTGGCACGCGCCTGTAGTCCCAGCTAGTCAGGAGGCTGAGGCAGGAGAATCGCTTGAAACCAGAAGGCGAAGGTTGCAGTGAGCCAAGACTGTGCCACTGCACTCCACTCCAGCCTGGGCGAAAGAGCAAAACTCCATCTCAAAAAAAAAAAAAAAAAAATGCAGTTTTTCTTATGTGCACAATCATCTGAAAATATAGTTTTAATCATATGTTCAAAAATGCTTATTCAATATCATTATTATTTTTAAGCACAAGCTATGGAAAGTAAGGCATCAAAAAATCATGCATGTTTCGGGATAGCTACTATGCAGGATTTAAGAAAATAATAGTATTATAGGGGACAGGGATTAAAATAGTTGAAAAATACGGTGTCTTATAGCAACTTATTATGATGCATATTACATTTTGAACTCTTGGAGAGCAATACCATGTCTTGTTTATTTGTCTATATTCCAGCAAACCTAATAAAGTACATTTTCCAAAGTAGACAATAAATGTTTTCCAGATACCCCAGTACTATATGCATGGTATATGTTCAATAAAATCTTGCTGATCGATTGAAAGAACCAATAAATTTAAGTTTGTTGAATGATCAGTGTATGCTCAGCCCTGATGAGACACTATAACAAGAAGACACACAAAAAAATAGAAAATACACTCATTGTTATCCATAAACATCATTTATCAGGTAATGCTGAAACAAATGCACCACAGAAAACATTTGAGTGGTTACCTGTGCATTTCTTTATATGACTGTTCCTTTTCCCATGTGATCCTAACTTGCAGCCAAAATTCTCCTCCCAAAATTCTGCAAACCACACATTTCTTCGATTGTTGGCAAGAGTTCGGCTTCTAAAGTATCGATCAAATCCTATTTCAAAGGAGAAAGGTAAGATTTTAATATTCTTTCAAAATTAAATATTGTCAGAACTTTCGAATGGACATTATATTGTGATCACTGCATGAAAAGAAACACACACACACACACACACACACACACACACACACACACATAACAAACGAGAGAAAGCCAGTAGCCCATAAACAAGGCTTCTCTTATGGCAAAGGCCAAGGAGGGTTAATGGACAATCCCCCCACACCATCACCACTACTCAAGCACCTGGATCTATGAATAGGTACAACAGGAAAGCCTGGTATCAGTGTCCTTCTTATACCCTCCCCTACTCTACTTCTCCCAGAGGCAGGAACCAGTGACTTCATGCTGAATCCTGAATACTCAGAACCCAACTTAAACTTCCCTCATTCTTTCCTCTTTCCTAGCAGGGATCAATGTTCCAGACTTTCCTGTGTTTCCACATACTTCAAAGTTTCTCTCTCCTATATGTTCTGTTTTCAGCTAATTCAATAAAGCAATCATGTTAATGTCATCTTATGGAGTCATGGGTAAGAGAACTCAAGTGTCAGTTTGCTCAGGTAACCACTTATTGAAGGGAGACCCCCTGGAAATAATGTCTTACTCCAAAGGATAATGTTAAAAGTGAGAATTTCAGTTACTGTCAAACTGATTGGAAAATATGTTTAGAAGATAGACTGCCTCTCAGGATGCTCCAAGTCTTTCCTGTTGCATTTATTTACCCATAGGATAGGCCCAGCATCATATATTCATTTTCTATAAATCAAGCATCTTCCCTCCAACAATGCTATGACTACCATAAATGCCCATGGAAATAAGCAAACTCAAACTCAAAGTGCAATTACTAACATAATGGAAGTAAATGACTATGGCCTTTTTCTTAAAAAAAAAATCTAATGGGGACTCTTTCCTAAATACACACACACACACTATACAAGTATAATAAATATGTGTGTGTATATATATAATACATATGTGTGTGTGTGTGTATATATATGCATGTGCATGCTGGTTTAAATACTGGTCTTGACAATTCTGCCACCGAAGCTAAAATTTATATCAAGTCATCAGTAATGAGTGCATTTCCTCATATTATGATACTCCAATTTTGCCTTTGAGTTTAGATCCAACTGCAATGAAACAAATTCTTTATGGTACATTCTTACCATCAATTGATGTTCGTTTGGGCAAAATTGTCACAGCCCCTTCTGCAATCTCCTCTTGCTGATAGACAGGTGCTATTTTGGATCCCCAACTATCTGAGCCAATCCAGAGAAAATGCCCACTTTGGTTTAGTTTTTTTGCTGCTTCCAATATCCTCCTATAGGAATAAAAATAAATAATGCATACCACATGTATTAAAAATACCACAATTATGAATATTACAAGAACAGCTTTGGGAAGTTGTATATACTCAGTAGGTCACTGTTTAACAATTAACATGATCATTCTAACTGCCCACATCTTATCATCTCCTAAAGGCAATATAGCAGAGACTAACTCCAACACATGTTAATTAGCCTTATCCTTAACCTCATTCACATCATTCTGTCTATCACCCTTGTTTGCCTTATCTCATTCAGTCCCCAAGTTTTACTCTGTAGGTATTTCAGATTTACAAACTACGAGGCAGCAGAAGGCAGTCTGTTATTGGAAGGGAATTACAAGCTTTTATGTTGAACATGAAATATGTTAGAAAGAGGATATGGGACGCAGATCTGACCCTACATACAGAAGAAAAGTAATCAGCACCTGATGTCATCCTCATTGGCAAACATAATCACTGCTCGAGCATTAGGTGTTTCTAGCAGGCGTTTGATAATTTTTTCAAATTCTCCAGGTCTTGGTTCACGTGGGATTTTCTGTGACTGAGCAATGCAAACACCACCTATTTAAAAAAAAAAAAAAAAAAAGGCGGGGGGAGGGGGTGATTCAGGAAGAGCATTTATTTAATTAGCAAACTCAATTAGCTGCTTTATAAAAGCACATAATTCTGTATGAATATTATTTCTCAAAATATGTGTCACTCTCACCTATTAAGAGCAATTGTGTTTGTTTGCATTATAATATATTCACCAAATAAATGACAATAATTATTAATCAGACATGGGTTTCTTTCCCAAAATGTAAACATTATTTTTGTGGATATATCTAAGAAAACCAAGATGTATAAGACGTGTGATGAGAGTCAAAAAGTGGAAAGAGGAAGGGCTGTTTTGATTTATGCAACGTAAGCCAAAGGACAAGTGACGGAATTAATAAAAGTATGAGTATGTCTTATAGTTGAGACCCTTATTAAGTAGCAAGGTCCTTTTGCTACTTTTATTTACTAGTAGACTTCTCTTAAAGTTAATTTCATTGTATAGCTAATAGAACTGCAGCAAGATCTTCACGCATCAGCGTAACAATGTCTTATGAGACAAGTGTTCTTCAAGACTATATAAGACACAGGCAAACCCCAAAGATGCCAACTCTTGATTGACATACATCTCCACTATGAAAATGGCAGAAATACCATCTCATTTTCACTGTAAATAAAAAGAAAGAACCCTTATTTTGGCCTGTCTTTCTTAGGCAATGAGGGACAAAAGAGAAAAGTATAGAAAAGATCTCTGCCTCTGGGCTGGGGTAGGAGGAGAAGAAAGAGGTTCCCCCAACTGCAGTGAAACAGAGAGAGAACATTCTGACACTAGATGAGAAAGCAATATTAGCAATAGGTTTCAATTGTATTATGGTATAAACAGTATTTTTTTTAAGTCAGCTAAGAATTAAATCACCATTTATAGCATTGCTTCAGTAGGCAAAGGCATTTTTACTTCCAAACAATTGACAATGCACTCAGTCATCCAACTGTTATTGGATGCCATTATACTCTATGCACTGGGCTCAACATTGGAAATGCACAGTCTAATCCAGGAGTTACCATCTAGTCTGGGAAATAGGCATTTGAATAAGTTACCATGGAATAGATAATAAAGTATATAATTCATAGGATATTCAATATAATCAGAACACAGAAGAAGGAGTAACTAAAGTGCTTGAGAGAGCTGAATTTTAAAGAGAAAATATACATCCATGTGGGGACAAAGTGGAACATGTCTGGTGGAGGCCAAAGTATGTAAAAACCTAGCACAATCATGGCCGGGCGCGGTGGCTCAAGCCTGTAATCCCAGCACTTTGGGAGGCCGAGACGGGCGGATCACGAGGTCAGGAGTTCGAGACCATCCTGGCTAACACGGTGAAACCCCGTCTCTACTAAAAAATACAAAAAACTAGCCGGGCGAGGTGGTGGGCGCCTGTAGTCCCGGCTACTCGGGAGGCTGAGGCAGGAGAATGGCGTAAAAACCCGGGAGGCGGAGCTTGCAGTGAGCTGAGATCCGGCCACTGCACTCCACCCTGGGCGACATAGCGAGACTCCGTCTCAAAAAAAAAAAAAAAAAAAACCCTAGCACAATCATGGCCTATAGTAGAGACTGGCTGGGTCTGAAGATGGAAACAATGACCAGGTCCAGCTTGAGAATGGCTTTGTTAGACGTGCCAAATTCTGTAGTCTGAATGTTAATATGTTAAAACTTAATCCCCAGTGTGAAAGTATTAGGAGATGGGACTGTTGGGAGGTGACTAGGTCATGAAAGTAGAGTCCTTATGAATGAGATTAGTGTCCTTATAAGAAAGACTCCAGAGATATTTCTTGCACCATCTGCCATGTGAGGACACAGCAAAAAGACACTGAACCAGGAAGAGGGCCCTCATCAGCTCTTGACCATGCTGGCACCTTGATCTCAGACCTTCAGCCTCCAGAACTATAAAAATAAATTACTATTGATTAAGTCATCCAGTATATGATAATTTTTATTTTTATTTTTTTAGATATGGGGGTGTCACTCTGTCACCCAGGCTGGAGTGCAGTGACCAGATCATAGCTCACTGTAGCCTCAAAGCCCTAGGCTCCAGTGATTTGCCCACCTCATCCTCCGGAGTAACTAGGATTACAGGCACATGCCACCAAAACCGCACCAGTCTCCTATAATAATTTATTATGGCAGCCCAAAGAGACTAAGACATCAAATAACTTGGACTTTATTCTGAAAACAAGGGGAACCCATTAGGTTCATCAGCAGGAGAAGTACGTGCTGAGCTTTATGCTTTAGGTAGACTTTCAAAGAAGAAAAGTCTGGTTGCCAAATGATAGATTTCCAGGGCGCTGTGATCAAACCTAATACATACAGCAGATGTATGACTAACTAGTGCTAGCACATAAAACTATTTTTCTTATAAGTTAGAGAACATTCAAAATTATGCCTGTAATAGCAGGACTCTTAGTAACCTTACAATACATATTCCAGGGGTGGGAATTGTCCATAATACACAGATTGGGCTGTGTCACTGCCTGCAGTTAGCTAGTCTACTGATACACCACTACTAGTTGTGATAATTGATTCATTCCTTCAGTAAATATTTCTTGAGTGCCCAGTATCTGCCAGATACTGTGTGGGTGCTGTGGACACAATGGTGAATAAAAGAAATTCTCTACGTTCACAGAATTCAGAAATATTATGGGTAAATCAGGCTTAATGCAAAATAAAAAGAAAGAAGAAGAAGAGAAAAAGAAGGGAGAGGAAAAAGAAGAGGAGCAGGAGGAGGAGGAGAAAGAGGAAGAGGAAGGAGGAGGAGGAGAAAGAGGAGGAGGAGGGAGTGGAGGAGGAGGAAATGGAAGGAGGAGGAGCAAGTGGAAGGAGGAGGAAGAGATGGAGGAGGAAGAGGAAGAAAAAAAGGAGGAGGAGGAGAAAGAGGAAGAAGAAAGAGGAGGAAGGAGAAGGAGGAGGAGGAGAAGAAGGAGGAAGCAGAAGCAGAAGAAGAAATAATACATAATTATAAATTATAATGAGCCCTGTGGGGAAGAGCAAACGAATTTAATTTAGATTGAGGACTGCTCAGGGAAAGCCACCCTAAAGTGGTGTAATATAGTCGAGATCAAAAGGATAAGAGCATGGGAAAGGGCAGGAAAGGGCCAATGGAGTCAATGAATGAGGGCGAGAGGGGTGGGCAACAAAAATGAGATGGAGATAAGGGTCAGATTGCAAGGGCCTGTGGAAGACTAGGAATAATTAAATGCTTAACTTTCTCACTAAATGTTTCTATTTCTTTGATCTTTGAGTGGCCCATAAGAATATGTCTCAGGTACGAGCATTGCACTCCATGGAAGAAAAACAGATGAGGATCGCTGATACAGAGTGCAGCCTGAAGTGGGATGAACAGGAGGCAATGAACCCAGCCAGGAGGTATTGGAATAAGCAGTGGGAAATGATGACTGAGCCAGTGCTACTGGTGCTGGGGAGGAGCAGCTGGAGCTAAGGCAGAATCTCTGAGTTCGAGTCAATGGAGCTTTTTACTGATCTGATGTAAGTAGCGAAGCAATGGGAAACCACGAAGTATGACTCCAAGGATTTGGTCTTTGTGACCAGTTATGTGACGGTATCATTAAACAAGCGGGAAATCCAGGAGGATAAGGAGGAGAAAGTAATGATTTTGATTGGAGGCAGGTTGTCTTCAAAGTATGCATGGAATGTCAAACTGAAAAAGTGAATCTGGAGCTAAAGAGAGAGAAGAGAAATGTAATACTTTTGTCAGGGGCTGATAGGTTAGGTAACTGAAGTGTTGTGGGGCAAAGAGGTCACTGAGAGAGAATATTTAAATCAGCAATAGAAAAGGTGAATTATAGAACTCTGAAAAAAATCACCAGGTTTGGAGAAGGAGGAAAGGAGTGATTACATATTTTGAGAAAACTTTTGGAATGAAGTCTAGATGTAAGTTGAAGACTATGTATAATTTCTTTACAATGCAAACAAACAAACCTCTGTGAGTGGAAACATTAGGTAACTGCACAAATGTAACACGAAGTAACACTCTCCAGGGAACAATATCTGTTTCAAAAGATGACTGCCCTTTTAATTAAGTTGCCATGATTACTTAAGCATCCCATTAAAGGCATGTTATATGCTGAGTATCATTCTGAGACTGTTACTGACTCTGTAGCCATAAAAAATTAAGTTCTGAAAATTTTTATTATTACTGTTTCAGAAGAAGCAAACAAGCAATCCAAACATAGTTTAGTCTGAATTCATTGATTTATTTATTCACGATGGACCTATTAAACACTTTTGTTTGTAAAGAGCTGAGTTCGCTGAGTTGAATTTTAACATAGCTTAAATCCATTTCACTTTTTACTATTCCCATACCACACCTCCTATCTTTCAACCTGGTCAGTTTGTATTTTCCTGGAAAGAGGCACTGGAGTATTAATCTATTTAAGCTGAACAAATGCTTGTAGAGAACCTGTTACACATGGCATTGTGCTGTTTGGTGCCTGTAGATATTTTATTAAAGTGTAGATTGATTATTTATCAAATGATTATAGTTAGAAGACTGGGATTATTTCCTGAACCCTGATACCCATTCACACTTTCTTTCTTCATATCAGTCAAAAAGTCAGACAGCTAATCTGTTCGTAAGCACTCATGGTCTACTATGTTTCAGGAGTTACAGACAAAAACTGCCAGTCCTCAGCAGTTATGATATAATTGAATGACAATACGTACACATAAGAAACGTCAGACAAGGATGTAAATTAGGTAACACAGATAACAGCATAAGATATACCACAGTTCAGTCATAAATGACAAATAGGTCATCCCCTAAAATAGTCCTATGACTTCATAAGAGGAAGGGGTCATTACCTACTTTAGAATTTGGTTTTAAAAATCCAATGAAATTCAAAGATTCAGACCTCATCAAAGATACGTTTTCCATACAACACTCCACATCCATTGCTTGACTTTTTAAAGAGACTGTCTTGATTTAAATTCCTGGGGTGGGTGGGTGGAAGAG